TTTTCTTCAATTAATTATCCTCAGATTGTGGCAAGCCTCTGGTTAGTTTTCGGGGTTGCAAATAAGTTTATTTGGGCAAATTTGCAACTATTTTCAATGCTAGTATGGAGGAACAGATTTATGGAGGTTGTCACTTGGCCATTCTTGAGGTACTTCTTGACTTATTCCTTTTGAAGAGAATTCTTTTCATTGTCATTTTCATGGAATCTCAGGAAGGGAATGAAAGCAGATGAATGTGTTTAGTCTGTCCTCTTTACCCAGAAGTCTACAGCTTTTTTTTTTTTTGAAAACCATTGCTCTGTTTGATGAAGTGGGTAGTTGCATTACACTTACCATTTTATAGTTATTTGCATTGACTTCGGAAATAAGAGTTTTGTGTTAGGACCAGAGCCAGTTTTACCAAGAATCAGATGAAGCTTAAGCTTCAGAGCCCCTCACTTGTGCCTTTCAAAGGCTTGCTGGGACTGCAGTGATGTGTTGATATGGTCTATGATTTTGCAAAATTTGCTAAGGCAAGATATTTTTTTTCCTAAATAGCCCCCTCCCACTGAAAACAATTTAAGCTCAGGCTCCACAAAACTTGGATTTATCCAAGATGGGATGAAAGACACATATACACATACATACTTCCATTGATTTTTATTGATTGTAGTGTTATCTAGAACAGAGGTTCTCAAACTTTAATATGTCTACAAATCCAATAAACCTTTTGAAAATATGTGTATTTCTGGGGTGGACCTAATACTCTGCATTACTAACAGTCTCCCATGTGTTGCCAGTTTTTTTGTCCATTGACCACATTTTGAATTGCAAGAATCACCTTTCCTTTAACAGTAAGAGTCTTGAGCACAAAGAAAGACATTGGTTTGAAGGAGTATAATCTTTTCCTGAACTTTAAATGTTTGGGGAGATAAAGACAGGGATAGCTCAGAGCCAAGCAATAGAGAATCCCTAAACTTCATTTTTTTCAATGGTTTCATGCATCCACCCCTCAAAATTAAAAGGGGAAAAACTTTCACTCCATTCAGTAGTTGCCAGCATAGAGCAAAATTGGCTTGATCTTAGCTATAATCCCTCTTCATGCTTCCAGACCTTTTGGGTTGGAGTTGCTTAATGTCCAAACACAGGGTCTCATTTGGCCCACCATTCTCATATGACTTCCTGATTTGCTTCAAATCCAGATGGTTCTGAGAAGATGAAAACAGGTGAGAGAAGTAATAAGGATCTCTTCCATTCCTGCTTTGTTCATCACTTCATTTTTCCCACATCTCAATGCCTGATGCCAAGTCCATAGTCATTGAAATTCCATGAAGATGTATGTTTCTCTCTATTGCCCTGGAACTTGTATATGCATTTTCTTATTATGTCTCCTCCCAGCTACACATCAGGGCATTTTGCTGCATCTAATAATAAACCTCTTTAAACAAGACAATTTCCCTGTTCAGCAGGTAAAGTTGTATTAGGGTGCTGATGGAATTAATATTTTGAGAGAATTCATGATTTTGTTTAGTTAAAAATGAGGGATTTGTGCAGTGGTTGACTCAGTCAGAGAAAGAAACTATTTGCTTTAGTGTCTAAAATTATAAATGAGGGGGCAGGCCCCATGACGTAGTGGTTAAAGTTCAGTGCGCTCTGCTTCAGCAGCCCAGGTTTGCAGGTTCGGATCCCAGGCAGGGACCTACACTACTGGTCAGCCATGCTGAGACAGTGACCCAGATAGAAAATAGAGGAAGATTGGCACAGATGTTAGCTCAGGACTAATCTTCCTCAGCAAATAATATTAAAAAAAAGAATAATAATAAACGAGGATCACAGTCACTTGATGAATAGAAAAGATTCTTTGAAAAATATAGTAAGCTACAGACTAAAAATAAATAAATTCACTCTTTACAGTACTTTTACATTGGATTATTAAATAAATACCTGGTGTAGTAGTATTTATTGCTAAAGCTAAAAGATTAAAGGATGCTTGGGGAAGCAGTTTCCCTTTATGTTCTAGGATCTTACATGGTTCATCCACTGAGTGCATTTGCTTTTAGAAGTGGAGTTTAATGAAGGAAACTTTAGTATGTTCTGCTGATTCTTCATCTTCATTAAATGAAACTGTATTATCTTACAGAGATATTTCCTTTTTTGTTTGTTTTTGGGTTGGCGTTGTAAACGGTATGGTCACCGAACAGGCGACAAAGAATGCCCTTTTTTTATCAAAGGCAACCAAAAGTTAGAACAGTTCAGAGTAGTAAGTAGAACCCCATCATGTCAATTTACATTCATCAGAGATGGTGAATATCAATGATTCAGGCACTAATCAGTGAACTGGAAGGTCACATAAAATCCATGCCCGGAAGCCTGTCGGTTAGTGTCCAGCGTTAACTACATCACTGTTGAATCACACTGTGTGACAGGTTAGTTCTTTAACAGAAAGCTAACTTCTTATTAAAGTGTTATTTGCTTATACCTTGGGAATAGTGATTCTTTTTCTGAGGCAGACATGATTTATTCAATCGCTTTTTTAGACTTATTATATAAAAAATAATTTTTCATAACTAAAGTCAGGGTTTTAATTTCCCAGTCTTTATCTAAATATTAGATGTCTTTAAATTTTAAGTTAGGAGTGTAAATATAAATTATATGTGCTCTTTAGATGACAGTAAAATAGATCCATCCTTCCCTCGCCTTATTTTAACAGTCACCTCTCAGAGGTGTTAATCCAGCATTCAGTAACTGCTTCTGCCAAGTGAAACAGACTGCTGTCTAGATGTTCTCAGGTTATCAGCATCTATCAGACTGGGATCAACAGACATTCTCCAAAGTTTTTAAGACATTTAAAATATTGTGTTTTCATTTTAATAATCTGAAATAATTTATTTTGGATCAATTATTCCACTTCTAGGTGGAATGTCAACTTTTACAGATCGTATAAAATATAGTTTGATGATACATCTCAAAAACTTTAAACATATTCATTTTATTTTTTGACTCAAAAATCCCACTTCTAAGAATTTACCTTCAGGATATAAGAAAACATTAATATATACACAAATGTTTATGTATGTATAAAGATAACTTTCATAATTGTTTATATGATTGAGAAAATGGAAACTTAATAGTCTAACGTACCAACATAAATTACTGGAATATAGAAATTATTTAGCCATTAGGAATTGTGTTTTAGAAGAATGTGTAATGTCACGAGAAAACATTCATGAAAATGTAAGTGAAAAGCAATAGAGTTATATAAATGATTATAATTTTTTATAAATTATGAGTAATGATTGAAAGAAAGAGACCAAATGTTAATAGTAATTATCTCTGGGTAGTGAGGTAATAGGTTTTTTTAAATTTAGCTTTTGGTAACATCTTAAAATTTCTACAATAAACATTCTTTTTTAAAATTGAGGGGGCTGAGTGGTTTCTCACCCTATCTTTATTCATGTCTGAGAATAATTTTTAAGCAATAGCTTAGATCCTGAGTGGTTCTAAGGTTGAGGCTGAGTGGTTAAGTTCGCGCGCTCTGCTTCAGCAGCCTGGGGTTTTGCCAATTCGAATCCTGGGCACAGCCATGCTGAGGCAGCATCCCATATGCCACAACTAGAAGGACCCACAACTAAAAATACACAACTATGTATCAGGGGTCTTTGGGAGAAAAAGGAAAAATAAAAAAAATAATAAAATCTTTAAAATTGAGATCACTCACATACCATAACATTTCCCCTAAATGTATTATTTTTAAGTAACTCAAGTCATTTAAAGTTATCTATACTTCCAGACTTTGTTTGGGGTACTTAACATATATTTTTGTATACCTATATATAAATGTTTCATTCTTATATATCATTTTGTAATTCAGTTATTTTTCTTAATACTATCTCTTTGTCATCTATCAACATAGAACAAAGGATTACTTCAATATTTCTACCTTTACTAGTATTTCATGATTCTGCCATGGTTTGTTTCCTATAGGATATTTAAATTATATCCTGTATTTTTCTAATTGGAAAATCCTTTCCACAGCCTCAATGAGTTTGCAGTGATGGTGACCCTGAGGAAGGATTAAAACATGTTGAATAAAAACTATACCAAAGTGGGAAAAAAAAAACACTGGTTTTAGTAGCATAGGGATTTAATTTTTATTTAACTAACAGTCCATGGAGCCTAACCCAACCTTAACCTTTTCTTACCCTTAAGGCACATGAAGATCCCATGTATGACATCATACAAGAGAATCAAAAACATGAAAAGGATGTAAGATGAGGACATCCTGATGATAACAATACCCTCTTAAAGTTTTAAATTATATAAAGTTGGAAACAACCATTCCAGTATTAGAGGAGTGGTTTAGTAAATATGGTACTTTGTGAAATATTTAGAAGGCAGGAGTAATCACTGAAAAGACCAGTGTGTGGGGAATGAGCAGGCCAGCCTTGTTCTACTTGACTTAGCTTAAAGCAGTGGGCTTGGCCCAGCCCACAAACGCCACTGATAGTTGATGCTGGCAATCCACATTGTGGTGTCTAGGTCTACTATATGATTGATTCTCTTTCATATGATTTAGTCTGTTTTCTCCAATGTCTTTAAGGATCTAAGCTATTGCTTAAAAATTATTCTCAGACATGAATAAAGACAGGGTGAGAAAACAAAAGGGTGGTATTCAGTTGTAATCATTGAGGAGGTAGATTATCTTGTATGAAGTTGAGCAGTGGGGGAGTGATTTAGGAAAAGATGCGTTGTTAGTAGTCGCAATAATAAGGACTAGAGAACCATGCAGAATATTTAGGACAATGAAAGGAATACAAAATGGCTTGTACACTGGTTACATTCATGTAAAATAGGCATGGATGTGGACAAGAATGGGGAAAACATGCAAAGATAAAAATAAATACTGTCTTTAGTAAGGTGGTTATTCATGACATTTTTTACCTTCACTACTGCTCTTATATTTTTATCTAAAAATTTTTTTTAAGTTAAATATGTTTCTTTGGTCAATCTTACATGTTTAGGATACAGGAGTTAAAACAGTTACTGGAGGATTCCACTTCAGATGAAGATGAGAGCAGCTCCAGTTCCTCAGAAGGTAAAGAGAAAAACAAGAAAAAGAAGAAAGAAAAGAAAAGGAAGAAAAAACTAAAGCATAAGTCTTCCAAGTCAAATGAGAGTTCAGACGCAGATTGACAAGAACTTGACTTGTTCAACACTCTCTTCTCAAAGATCAGAGGAATGCGGAACGGGAGAGGAACGAGAGAGAGACAGTGAGAGAGGAGGACATTTGGTGTCACACGTGTGCATTCTCACCTACCTTCTAGTAAGGACGTGACCCACAGGAGAGGAGCTCTACCTTCCTGGGTGCCAGCTCTGGAAAGCGGCTGATTCCAGGCAGGACAGCTTTTCTCAGTGTCCTCCCTGCGGATCACTGCGATTTGTGATTCCTCAGAAATGCCTCTGCCGGGGCAGCCAGAGGGAATCTCTGAGGAAGCTCCCCAAATGCTGCCACAGCTTCCACCCTCCAGAGTGGGGCCACTCAATTCCCATTGACTTCAGCCTTGACTTTCTCTGTTGTTAAGGCCAATAAAAGCTGATGATTTTATTTATTTAAAAAATACTCATTTATTTTTGAATCATAATATACTTAACATGGTCCAAATTTAAAAGGTAAATAAGGTTTAATTATGAGAAACCTTTCTCCCCCAGCTACTCAGTTCCCTTCCCTAATGGCTAACAATGTTACCAGTTTCTTATGGAATCACCTAGAAATATTTTATATATCACAAATTATTTTTTCTTTTTTTAACATAAATACATGCATACTATACACATTTGTCTCCACAGTTTTTATTTTTCATTTTTTAACAACAGTATAAAGCATGTTGGGCCTTGTTGCATACAAAACACCTGTGTTCATAAACCCCTGGCATGATTGGTTGAATTTTTTGGGGGGTGGGATATCCTATAATAACAATGAAAAATCATGTATTTAACTTGCTTGGATCTTATTGCCATTGTCCCATGATTATTATTCCCAGAATAATTGATTCAGAAAAATTATAAGGATGTAGGGATTACTGCACTAGGTCAGCTATCCACTCCCCCAAATTCATCCTCAATCTGTTGGCTAAGCACAGCCCACCTGAGAACTCCTAGCCTTGAGTGTGCTGCAGCTGAGGCAGCTCGGCAGGTTGCGGTGGTACCTGCAGCTAGGGAAGGGTGTCTGTTCTGTGCCGAGCCAAGTGGAGTCAGATCTTGCTCATGAGTAAGTGTCCCTCCATCTCCACCAGGATCTGTTACTGCTTTTATCACTCAAGCTCCCAGGAATTCACTATTCCCACTTCCTGCCTCTTTCCTCGGGGCTTGATTCCCCCCTTTTTTGAAGAATAACCAATGCAGGCCAGGCTGGCTCCTTCTCCAATTCTCTTCAGTAACTGCTCCTAGTCTTGGCCTTAGAAAATGTACCTAAGTAACACAATTGGTCCAGACTGGAATGGCTAGGACTTATTTCTGAACACCCTAAGACCAGTTAATTCAGCCATGCCTTACCCTTATCCATGGCATCCTAACTTAGCATGCAGCAGCAAATTCTCCTTCCAGGAATTTTCTTTCTCCTGCTAGAATGGAATCCCATTCATGATAAACATATTCTATTACAATATGGAAGAATAATATCAATGATTCTCCAACTTATGGGGCATCAAAATCACTTGGAGTGCTTGTTAAAACAGATTCCTATGCCCTACTCCTAGAGTTTCAGAATTTGATTATACTACGTCTGGGATGGACTGGGGAATGTGCATTTTTAACAAGTTCCCAAATGATACTGCTGCTGTTGGTCTGGGGAGCAGACTTGGAGAACCACTGCTTTGCATATTTAACCTGTTACTGAAGCCTTCCTCCACTTCCTGCTTTAACTGGAATCTCACCATCCACTGCCCTTGCAAGTTAATTCCTGTCTCTTCTTCACTCCAGGTTTCTGTGTCTTCCGTTTCTGGCCTAGGTTCCATGGTCCACCACTTCAGCCTGTCATCTCCCTTGACCTCTGGTCCTTTAGTGCAGCTTACCCAGAAGAACCTCAAAGCAAACTCTTCCTCCTCTGCCCCACTTCCCAGACTGCTGAGCCCATAAAGGTAATCAGTCAAATTTCTTCATCCTAAAATCTCGCCCCTCAGACTCAGCATTCTCCAATTCTATTCAGGAAGGCAAAAGCAGCCACCAGACCTCCCTTGACCAAGGTATCCCACCAACACGTCATCATGGTTGTAGTAGGCAGAACTGCAAAACGGCCCCCAAGGTTTCCTGCCCAAATCCATAGGACTGTTACTATAACAGGTTTTCCTCCCATCACTACATTATGTTACAAGACACAGTTGAACCTTTTCAAAGGGTGGTTATTTGGGTGATCGGAACCAAATCACATGAGAATTTAAAAACCAGAGGATTTTTTTCTGGCAGGTAGTAAAGAGGAAGTCAGATTCCGAGCTTGAGAAAGAGTTGATGTGCTGTTCGTGGTGGCTTTATTTTAAAATGAAGGGGCCATATGGCAAGGAATTTGGCAGCTTCTCAGAGCTGAGAGCAATCCCTCACCGACAGCCAGCAAGAAAATGGGCACCTCAGTCCTACACTTGCAAGGAACTCAATTCTGCTAAGAGTCGCAATGACCCTGGACGTGCATTCTTCTCTAGAGCCTTCAGGTAATAGCCCAGCCCTGCCCACACCTTGTTTTGGCATTATGAAGTGCTAAGCAGAGAACCCAGTCTAGTCTACCCAGATTTCTGACCTACAGACCTGTGAGATAATAAATGGGTATTATCTTTCACTTTTTAAAAAATTCATAAACTTTTACAGCAGATTTAGGTTCACAACAGAACTAAACAGAAAGTACAGAGGTTTCCCAAAGATCTTCTGTCCCCAAGCACTCACAACACTCCCTTCCCCACAACTATCAACACCACAATGATAGACCTGTTATAATCAGTGTCTTACCTTGGCACTGGGTCCCATAGAGGTTTCTGATCTGTAAGTTGTGATTCTCTGAACCTGCCTGTCTTTCCAGTTTCTGGGTCAGCCATTTGCCCGGTGACCTCAATTCTCTGATAGATTTAAGAAGACTGGATTATTTTTTAGTTTGCTTAGCTTTTTACTTTCTATAGGACAGAGTGAAGACTTCTAACAGAAACCAGAAGTCAATGAGTACTGTTTTAAGCCACTACATTTGTGGTAATTAGCAACCACTCACATGTCTGGAAGCTTCTTGAGGGCAGAGACATCTTGTTTCATGTTGAATTCTCACCTTATAACACAATGCATTGTGCATAGTGATGTTCAGTGGGATTTTATTAAAAGTATGGTTACATTCTCCAGTTGGAACATGATTTGGAAGTTGTAGAGGATGCTGAGTTGTGCCATTCATATCTGCCGCCTAACCTCCACCTGACTTCAGGACTAAAGCATTTACTCTCCCAGCTCCTGGGATGGTCGGGTTGACCCTGGACAGCTTGCAACTGACTTCCCCTTTCCAGGGAGTGTTCTTTCCTGGAGAGCTACCCTTCCCAAGGTCATGCTCCTTTGTAGGGACATCCTGTGTCACTGTGACTGATCAACACAGGGATGTAAGGTGTGGCCTTTTGCCCCAATTGGGACAACTCTGCAGGGTCATCACAGCTCAGAAATTCTCAACGGGATTGGCTAAAGCCTTTGTTGAGACTGCATCACACCCAAACGCATCCCTCTGCTTAATCACGCTTTCTTTGCCCTCTCAGAGATGTTATTCCCCAAGTACTCCCCACTAAATTTCCTGCACACAAATCATCTCAGAGTCTGGTCCCAAGGAAACTCAACCTGCCACAGCGGTGCAATAGCTGGTTGGGAAAATGAAAGGGTAGGTGTTGTCAGCAGTTACCTTTCCTTTTGGACTCCCTTTTCCAAACTTACGCTTGACTTTTCATTTAGCCTATAGGATAAAGGTAAGACTGAGAAGGATTACAAAGCAGGAAAGTGTTCACTGGTACTATCCTCCTCTTTTTGTGCTTCCTCTTTCATATACTGGAATAATCATCTTCCCCACCTTCTAGGGTCCAACATATTCCTACTAACCAGAGAGCCCCAGTTATGGTCCCTTGAAGTGCCTTGAGTTAGTTCACCCACAACACTGCAAACTATTTCTCAAGTGTCAAAAAGTTGAATCTGATTAGATTCAACTCATTCATACTAACACACTAATGAAAAGCCACTCCCTTTAATCTTCTCATGGGAATTTACAGGTGAAAAAATCAGATTGCTGGAATTTCCGGTGGGGAATAGTTATAGGAGTGGAATGCCTTCCTGGTTCTCATAAGAGCAAGGAAGTTGCGTCATCTGGACTCAAGTCTTCCCTGCTCTTCAGTTACTCCAGCCAACGCATTCCTATCTCAGTCTTTCCCCTTTAGTTGTGTTCTGCTAGCTTGGAATGATGGTGGGAACAATGACCACAAGGCCAAGTCATTTAATCTAAACTGACACTAAGCCATTCATTCACAAATACTTGAATGCATATGATGTGTCAGGACACATCATATAAATTTTCATATATCACACAACTATACTAACTTTTCAAGATACTGCAGTAGATACAATGAATCCATGACCCTAAGGAATATATAGTCTCACCAGATCTTGAAGTAGGGGTTAGGCAAAAAGTCACAGAACTTCCCATAAGACCAGCCTTGGAAACAATTTCTTTTGCTTGCCTTTTTGCATCTCATCTGAAAAAATGCAGTGCCATCACTTTGTACCAGTCTCCTTAAACTATCTTGAGAGGTATTTGATTACTACAGGGAGTTAAAAAGAGGACATTTTCATCACAGGGTAGCTTAGAAGCAATATTGGGTGGACCCATCCATATGTATCGCCACACTCTCCATACTGTCACTCAGAGAGCCTTACTTGGAGGCACCCCCATTCTCTCCCACATCTGCCCTGTTCTTTCAAATAACTTTGAGAGCGCCTTCAACCACACATAAACCTTTCTGGCACCTAGTAACACACTTCACCTGTAGGTCCTAGATTCTAAGTATAAAGAACTTTTGTTTGCCTAAAGCTTCCTCTGTTTCTAGGAATGCACACTGATTGGAAGTAAAGAACATAGGATACTACAACCCACCACCCCTGGTCATATCCATCAGTGGATCTATGTGCCTGGTCTCCATTTATAAAAAATGGGTAAGGCACAGTCTCTGTCCCCAGGGTAGTTCCTGTTTATGGGGAATCCTTCATCTACTTATTTATTAATGTCCTCAATTCCACCATCCTTTCTCCCTTACCCATAGATCCTTGGAGAATACAAGACTGAAGCATACACACCAGAAGTATTCATGAATGACTCAACTCTATTGGTGTTATTAGTGATGTGGCCATTTTAAGAGAGGAAGAAAATGCTTAAGAATGACATGCATATGCAATTCAATTTATTTGCTGTTTTCCAACTTATAATTCCAAAGGCTTTACAACGTCCCGTTTTCTTAACTTGTTTGTAGGTATAATAGCTTTATTAGTTCAAATCAAGAGAGAGATCACATGCTCCAAACCATCACGACAATGCAATATTTAGCTCTTCTTTGTAGGTGGAACTCAGCAATTTGTTTCCTATGAAATAACAACAGAATGATACACTTCCTGATATCTGTTGTATAACAGACTCAAGATACATTATACACAGAATCATTAGGAATCTTTAGTTTCCATCTCTGTAAGATAAAGCTAAAGGTTCTGACATTTTGCCTGAACTTGGTTATCAGTCTTTCCTTTATGACCAATGTATGGCGGGAATAGCCTTTAAAGCACCCTCAAGTGACTGCTCCCTTACCCCCCAGGCCTAGGAGTTGGGGCCGTGGTAGGGATACTCAATGCCAAGACTCTGAAGGAAAGCCGGTCATGCTATCATGCTACTAGCCCCTTGAGGGAGATACTAAGAGCTTCCAGTACCCAGCTTCAAACTGGGACACTTTAAGAGTGAAGCCACCAGGGTAACTTACCAAATCCCATATAACCCACAATTTACTATCATTAGCAACATCAGGAATTAAAAGTGAAAAACCAGGATAAAAATAACATTCCATCAAACTGAAAGGCTTTGGCTCCAATAAATTTATAAGCTAGGGTCTACAGAAATGTCTTTTAGCTGGTTAGAATGCTGCCATTTTTCATTGCCCACAGGAAGTATTAGTTTTGGAGGGCAGAAAAGGCACTGAGTAGGAAACCCTAAACAAATTAAATCCGAAAAGCAAATCATAAAACTGGACACAAGATAGATACCCACCTCTATATCTGCTGGGTATTTCCTAAACTTTACTGCATCTGCCTCGAATCTTTGTTTTTACTTGTTAATTTGTAAGGTACCTTGGTTTTCGCTCTCTCACAGTTACCTGAGGGAAGAAGGGATTCATACATTCAATAATCCAAGTTGCTTAAAAACCAGAGAGAAAAACAAATCAAAAACGTCTCTTTCAAGAAAATTACCTATTTTTCAAGATGCTATTTTATACCATTCTACAATTCTTAGCAGCAAAAAAAATTATTTGGCAAAAATAATAACAAACACAACCTAGAGGAGAGAGCCTTCAGCCTGGAAATTAAAATCCTGACTGTGTAACTTCGAGTAAATTAAAGTTCTCAATATCCGCTTCACACAGCTGTGATAGGACTACCCAAAAAGACTTTCTTTCAGACGTGGTCAAAGGAGAAAGTGCTCAAGCTGATAAACTACAGTATTAAGGTAGGCAAGGGAATAAAGTTAAAACCAATGTCGTTTCCCAAGACAGAAAAAAGGCTTCTACACACTATGATGGGAAATGACAGCAGAGGCAATTAAGACTAAAGGTCAGGTGGCCAGTGTTTGACTATTAATTTTACAATGTTAGTCGTCAGGAACTAGGGCTTACACATCTGGAATGCTCCCATTCATTACGAAGTTTATGCATGAGGGTTCTGTAAGCACAGTGGCCCAGAACATTCATTCTTGCCCTCCTTTATAAGAAAGGACTAACCATACCAAAGGCAAAAAACTCTGCTCATATCATAAAGTCAGCTTGTTTTAAAAAAAAAAACCCTTTCCAAATCACTGGGTATGAATCAAAGTCAAGACAACTAACAGCCAAGAGTGAAGATTTGACAATACCCCCACTTTTAAAAGAAAAGGTAGGCTTAAATACTTGTTGGGTCTAAAGGTCTTGGGGCTAAGAATGGTACTTAATTAAATTTCCCTGGGGCCCTTATGCCTCCCATTCACTTACCTGCTTTCATTCATCCTTTGCTCCCCAGATGTGATCATTCCCCAAAGCTCTGCTTTGGGCCCTTCCCAGTCCTCCTTGAGCTCCCTCCCACCCCCCATTCACAGGGTGGTCCAAACTCCAGCTTCAACCAGATGTGGATGATCTGCTGATCCAGTCCCTCAAACTCACCATTTTATACACTCCTCCCACCCACAACTACGCAATAAAGCAAAACAACTTCTCTTCCCAAACTGTTTCCAGGGATGCTATCATTGTCTCCAGGTATCCTAGTTCAAACCTCAGCATTTTTTTAAAGAATCAATTTTGTTAATAAATCCCCTGCGGTGTTTTTACTCCCATGTGAGTTGGGACTCTCATCTCTCCATATCCAACGTTGAATTAAACTAACTTTATACAAGATTTTCAGCCAAATCAGCACTCTCCATTCTAATTCTGCCTAACAATACTGCCAGTTGAAGATTCCTAGAGCACATTTCTTCCTGTCATTTCTCTACTCAATTTGAATCGGCCCCTTATTACCTACAGAATAAAAATAAAAACTAAAGGGAAAATCTATTACTTTAGCCCAATTCTGCTTGGCCTCTCTTCTGTCCCAATTCATCACCAGTCTTCCCTCTGGCAGGATGGTCTCAGGCTGAATCCCTGGAAACTCTTGACCTGCCCTGGCTGCACATCTGAGTTCAAGCTACTGTCTCCATTCCTACTCCAAACTTTCTCTTCTTTCCCACTCCAAACCACAACTCCTAAATCCATATACAAACTCACTGCCTCGGGAGCTGGCCCAGTGGTGCAGCGGTTAAGTGCGCACGTTCTGCTTCGGTGGCCCAGGGTTCGTCGGTTCGGATCCCGGGTGTAGACCTGGTACCGTGTGGCAAGCCATGCTGTGGCAGGCATCCCACATATAAAGTAGAGGAAGATGGGCACGGATGTTAGCTCAAGGCCAGTTTTCCTCATCAAAAAGAGGAGGACTGGCAGCAGATGTTAGCTCAGGCCTAATCTTCCTCAAAAAAAAAAAAAAAAAAAGAATTCACTGCCTCCACATGGACTGCCCATTCTCAGCAACTCCAGCTCCATCTATGTCCATCTCTCTCTCCTTTGCGATCTCAACCCAACTCTTATTTACCAACATCACCTCGTTCTTTATCATCGTCTACTAGAGGTCTTTGTTTCAAATTACATTATAATTTCATAGAAAACAGAAACTCTTAACTAGAGATTCTCTTTGCAAATCCTACAAATATGGCACCTATAGCTTAAGTAAGGACATGCTTTCCAAATGGAGAAATACTACTCATCCATGGCTGCTTCTACATCTAGGACCCAGTATGCAACAACCAGAGACAACCAAATGTATAGGAGCCCATTAGTCACTTACATTCCAATGAACTGTGAGAGGCTCTCTTGGACTCCAATCTCTCCTGCTTGGCCATGGTATGTTTCTTGTGGAGCCTGCCGTAAGTGATTTCACAGCCATCCTGTCTCTTCACCTTGTAAACCATAGGGATGCTCTCATATTCACCACACTTCAACTTGTACCTATATCTGGGCCATACAATAAGTTGGGGAGGGAGAGAGCTCTCAGGTGGTATCCTGATTATCCTGCCAGACTTGCGATACAACCTTCCTATGGAAGATGTCAGAGGGCCCTGTGGACTAACCTCCCCAAAAAGGCATGCTACCTCATACATTTCATCTTCAACTTCCTGTTCCAACTCAGTGTCTTCTGAATCCTCAGGAAGTACAAAGTTCAAGGCAGCGTTTTTCTTCAACAAATAGACTGTCTTACCATTTGAGAAGCTGTTCAGCACATTCAGCTTCCTGCCTTTCGCAGTCTTTTTAGTTTTTGCATACTTTGTGAAGTTCTCATTATATACCTCCTCAGTCTCATCATCTATGATCATTTCTTCTTCATCTGTGTTTAATTTCCTATTCCTGATTGACTTTTTCCATGATCCCTTTATTTTGCAGTCTGGTGACGACTCTTCATCTATAGGGGGCATTTGCTCAGTGGATTTCTGGAGCTCTGCATCCTGCCACCAGCTCCTATCACACTGGATGCATTCCCTACTCGTGCCTGACTTGTCTGACCCCTTAGAATTGCAGTCTTGCAATGACTCTTCATCGGCTGAGGAAATTTCCTTAGGGGTTGTTCTGACCTCCTCACTGTGGCACAAGCCCATATTACACATGATGCCTACATCCACTCGTTTGGACTGGGCCAACAAGGTAGGGGAAGGGACATATTTCTCAGGGTAGCTATTACTCTCTCTCGCTTCACCTTCATCCAGTTTCCTATTCCCGACTGACTTTTTGCCTGTTCCGTTTCTACTAATTTTTGGTGATGACTCGGGGGATTTCTCCAGCTCTCTATCCTGCCACCAGCTCATGTCACACTGGATGCCTTCATCTACTCGGTTGAATGGGACCAACCAGGTATGGGAGGGAAGGCACCCTTGGGAGTAGTTATTATTCTCTACCACTTCATCTTCATTCAGTTCCCTACTCCCAACGAACTTTTTCTCTGTTCCCTTTCTACAACTTTCTGGTGATGACTCCGGAGATTTCGCCACCTCTGCATCCAGCCACCAGCTCACATCACACATGATGCTTTCATCCACTCGGTTGAACTCTGCCACCCACGTAGGGGAGGGAACACACCCCTGGGGGGAGTTATTACTCTCTACCACTTCATCTTCATCCTGTTTCTCCAGGGAGCCATGGCTCCCACTACTGTTGTGGGGCTTTCCTTCCCCAATGCTAAGGGGGGTCTGGGTTTGAGACTGTAGGCTCAGGTCATTAACTGTTTCCATGCTAACGCCGAGTGGGCTTTCCTGCTGGAGCTTGTTGCCATCTCCAGTAGACTGGCACAATTTTGAGATCAAGGTATTCTGGATCTCATCTTCACCTTTTACTTCATCTGGAGATGGCAGGATTTGGGGAACAGCTGAGAATCCTTTCTTTTCTTTATCCAAGTTCACTTCCATGGTTAATCCTGACTTTGACATCTCATTATGCCTTACAATATCAAGATGCTGCTCCAACGGAACAGCTCTTTGTTCATC